AAAGAAGGCACGTCCAGCTCCACCGCTCTGGGATCATACTCCATCGGGTCCATAGGGGACTCCAGCAAGAAGCCCACAGGTCCCTTCTTCTCCTCGGAGCATTCCTGTGCCCGAAGCCACAGGCCCATCTGCTTGAAGAACAACGCCGTGTCCCCATTAACCTTCTTCCTGTCTTCCTCCGAAAGGCCAGGAAGGCCAAACCTGTGAACGTCCCGTCCTCTCAGAGGTGGGGGTCCAGGCTGGTGATGCCTCAATCTCGACACAGTTCGGCACGGCAGCCCTCCCACCACTGCCTTGATCAGCCCCTTCTCCGCCAGGCTCCATCCCCACAACGCACCGTCATGAAGATTCTGCCTGACGTCCTCCTCTATGTCGATCGTGACGATCTCATAGCCGCCCCAATCCTCCTTCCGCCATTCTTTGGCATCACGGCCAGCGAAAAGATGCACCACGACACCCTTGCTTGCTTCCCATTTCCTCCTCAATCTCCGATTGAAGGGGCATCCTGCGGCAACTCCTGCTTCTCCTTCAACCCGGCCCATGAGCTTCAGGACCTCATCCGGGATACTCGGACACCATCGCTGCCACCGCTCCTCATCCATCGTTCCCGTAGCCGCCTTCTCCGGGGCATCCAAGAAGTCCATCAGCTTCATCGCCTCTGACCTTCGCATGACCGGACAGCCATACCGCAGCCAGCAGTGCAGCTTTGTGGCCGGGGTGCTCAATGATGCACCCCTTGGCATTCCACCTCACCACAAATCCAGCGTCTACCAACATCCTCAGCGGCATGATGGGCTCCACCGGCTCCAGCGTCAAAATGGCAGACGTTCCGGCATGCTTGTACAGCACCGTACTTCCACAGGCCAGCTCCACCTCCACCGCGGTGAGATTGTCCCTCTCATGCGGTCTAGCTTGTCGTAGTGCGTGAGTGGCTCCGCCATCCAATAACGCCACCGGCTCCACTTCTCCGCATTCCCCCGCTTCCTTCTCGGCCGCGGCGTACTTGATTTGCAACGCCCTGATTGACCTCAAGGACTTCAGCAGGCCCGCCACCTCTGTCAGCAAACCTGAGGCTTCTTCCGACCCTCCAGGGGGCGGTCTGGCCTGTTCTCCTGTTGCTCTCGAAGCCGATGAAGCGGCACCAGGGTTCCGCCCCGTAGCCTCCCGGGACGCCTCCTCCGCGGAGCCCGGTGAGCCACTAAGACGGGCCCCTTCGCCGCCAGCTGCCTGACCTTCTGCCGGCACCTTCTCATCTCCTGGCTTCTTGACCTTGGACACTATTGGAGCCGGCTGCTTCCAAGGGCTCCCAGTCGTGGATTTCTTGACCGGGCAATCTCTCTTTGAATGGCCCAGCCCGGAACATGCAAAGCATCTGTTGGTTTTCTCCAGGCCCTCCCATGAATGTGCATAGGTGCAGCTGCTCCCCTTCTTGCATCCTCCATCTGTTCCCAAAAACCTACAAGCAGGGCCTTGGGGCTTTCTCCTGTTGTCCGTCACCTCCGGAGTCGCGTCCGTAGCTCCTGCTGCCGCCAACGCCTTCAGGCCAGAGGTCGCAGTGCCCGTTCATGTTGCTCCCGGAGTCGATGCCGCCTTAATCGCTGTCGTCAGCGAGAGCTCTTCAGCTTCAGCCTGCAGGTACTCCGCAAACTGCTTGATCTTCCCGATCTGAGGCCGAATATCAATCTGCAGCTCCTGCCGAACCGAGGAGATTCTAAAGAAAGCCTGGGCTCCGGTCTTGCCGACCACCTCTGCGATCTTTCCCAAGACCGTGATCAGCACCAGCCCGTCCGGAAGCGCCACATCCAACTCCTCAGCTCTTGCCAACCATCTCCTCCACAGTCTCAAGGTCTGCAGAGCATCACACAGGTTAGCCCCTACCTTTGGGTCGGTAAGGTGCTTCAACCGGTTGCCCCTCTCCGAGGTACCTCCAGGTTGATACACCTGGTGAAGCCGGAACATGATCTCCGTCGCGGACATCATCCGGGCAGAGATGATCTCCCTCCTGATGGGGTCCGGCAAGGCCGCCAGTAGCATCGACAAACCCCTTTTCTCAACCCGGTGATTGTGTGCCTCAACATCCCCCAGCGTGGGCTTCAACCGGAGCTTCTCCAACGGCGTCGCCGTAAGCCACTCCGCATAGGTAAGCTCCCCTGCTCCCACCACAGCCTGGCCGATCCCGCAATGTCTGACATCAGCGGGGTGATGACCGTCACCCAGTCTCCAAATTGCAGCGACGACCCCTCACCTCCGGGTGGGGGTAGACTAGGAAGCTCCAAATTCCTCAGGGCCTCCGACAATCTAAAGGCCGTCGTAGCTTCACCACCTCCTTCAATCGGTCTCGGAGGCGGTGGAGGCGGCGGTGGAGGAGGTCGATCCTCAGTGGCCCATCCATGGGCAAAGTTCCTCACAGCTTCAGGGTGAGGCGGTGGCACCGGACCACCAGTTGCTCCTCCGTCCGACGCCGTCTTGTAGGAAACGTCGTCTCCCGCCCTTGCTGCTTGCAGCCTCATGACCTCCCGCTCGAAGGTCTCCTCCGCGTCTCGAAGAAGTCTTTTCCGTAGGTCCTCCACTTCCCGATCTCCTCCAGAGCCAGGTTCCCGACGCTCCTGCGATGAAGCCTCCCGGTGGCACCCGACTAAGGGCCACTCGTTGCTGCACCTCAGGACTCCAGAACGGATTCACAGCTCCAGGGCCTCCATGGTCCGCCTGATCATGCCCTCCAGGAAACCCACGTCCATGGCCTCCATAGTCCGCCTGATCATGCCCTCCAGGAAACCCACGTCCATGGCCTCCATGGTCCGCCTGATCATGCCCTCCAGGAAACCCACGTCCATGGCCTCCATGGTCCGCCTGATCATGCCCTCCAGGAAACCCGCGTCCATGGCCTCCATGGTCCGCCTGATCATGCCCTCCTGATCATGCCCTCCAGGAATCCCACGTCCATGGCCTCCATGGTCCTCCTGATCATGCCCTCCAGGAAACCCACGTCCATGGCCTCCATGGTCCGCCTGATCATGCCCTCCAGGAAACCCACGTCCATGGCCTCCATGGTCTGCCTGATCATGCCCTGCAGGAAACCCACGTCCATGGCCTCCATGGTCCGCCTGATCATGCCCTCCAGGAAACCCACGTCCATGGCCTCCATGGTCCGCCTGATCATGCCCTCCTGATCATGCCCTCCAGGAATCCCACGTCCATTGCCTCCATGGTCCTCCTGATCATGCCCTCCAGGAAACCCACGTCCATGGCCTCCATGGTCCGCCTGATCATGCCCTCCAGGAAACCCACGTCCATGGCCTCCATGGTCCGCCTGATCATGCCCTCCTGATCATGCCCTCCAGGAATCCCACGTCCATTGCCTCCATGGTCCTCCTGATCATGCCCTCCAGGAAACCCACGTCCATGGCCTCCATGGTCCGCCTGATCATGCCCTCCAGGAAACCCACGTCCATGGCCTCCATGGTCTGCCTGATCATGCCCTGCAGGAAACCCACGTCCATGGCCTCCATGGTCCGCCTGATCATGCCCTCCAGGAAACCCACGTCCATGGCCTCCATGGTCCGCCTGATCATGCGCCTCCATGAAAGGCTTGATCGTGCCCTCCAGGAAACCCAGGATCTCCACGAGGCTCGTGATACCGCCGAGGATCAAGGATTCCCGTCCCGTCACCCTGGCCGCGAACCTGCCCTTCTTGCTGTCCCGGACCTTGTCCATCACGACTGCCCCGGGCTTGTCCTTCTCCAGGATGTTGGCCCGGCCTCTCCATTCCCGTTTCTCCAGGTGGCAAAGGTGGGCCACGGTCTCCCGCCCCTCCCGCACCATGTTCATCTCCGTGATGTAGTCCCGGAGGTAGCGTCACCTCGGGTTCCCGAACCGCCGGCTCCCCACCGGCTGTCATCCTCCGATCGCGCCTCTCCCCCAGGTTCTCCGACCTTGCCCTCCGGGAAGACCCATGCTCGCGGATCATCCTGTCCAGCGCCTGGTCGGCGGTTTCTCCTTCACAAACAAGATCTTGTTGTTGTCTTCGCCTGCGCATCATGGCTGGCTTGGGCTCATAACCTACCGTTATGTTGGGGTAAGAACTAACGCGCACCCTTTTCCGATGCGTCTTGAGCCAACGTTGCAGTTGGTCGTTCATGCTCGCGAAATTTGAGTGCACTCTTCACAGTTTCAAACCATTTGAGAGTACCTTGTTTGGCCTATCCACTCAGGAAGGAGTAAACTAAATTGGTTGAGACAATGCGGGAGATGTAGGGCGCATTAGGGCGCAGTGTGTGTGTGTGTGTGTGTGCTCTTTTTTTTTTTTTTCTGGGGATCCCAGGTACTTCTATTTGTGTTGGCGATTATTCAGTTCCCCCTGTTGGTTTAGAGGGACTATCTCACGCACTTTCAACACTTTAAGGTTGGACCATTTGAGGGGCAAGCAGCAGGTATGGTGTGGTGACCTTTTTTTTGGGGGTCAATCCAGACTCAAAAGATACGTCATGTTCCGTGTACAGACATGCCATACGATCTCAGTTTCTGATGTTAATATAGTCATTGACTGTGTGGTATTGTTGTTTGTTGAGGTATATCTGACTACATTCATTGTAGGTACATCTGGTGGTGATTTTGTTGGTGAGTTTGATGGCAAGTTTGTTGGTTTTGGATTGATATTAAATATCCACCTGGATGGCCAGTTGCTGTTTTTTTTCCATGCACTTTACCCCCCAAAACCAGCAACAGTGGCCGAAAAACAGCGATCGCAACTTGGCTATCTAGGTGCTTGGGTTTGGTTACCGTTTTGGTGGCAAACAAAAAGTTCAGACTTGTTTTGGCCAGTCCACTTACGAAGTGAGAACGAGAAAGGTCGGTGGACAATCGATCCAGTGAGTGAGTTCTTTTCGCCAAGTTGCTGTTCTTTTCAGTCGCTGCTTGTTTTTAGGGGTTTTTGTAGATGGAAAGAAGCGAAGGCAACGCGATCCGATCGGATACTTTGGTTGCAGAATCGGAGCCGTCAGGTGGTCCTGGACCTCGCGTCCGCGGAGTTCCGCATCTGGAGCCCCTTTCGCTGCGTGCTGGCGGCCAGCTTGGTGGCCGGCCTGGGCGGCATGCCGGTCTGCCCGAAGGCCATTCGCCCAGAAAAAACGGGGCGGCGGTTTGGGGGGGGGGTGGGAAGGGGGACCCAAGAAACGGGGAAAGCAACCCCTTTCACAAACTTTCAACCCCCCTAAGAAACCGGGGCTCCCTCATTTTGAGACGCGCAAAACAAATGGGGCTGAGTACGTCCACGTGCATTTCGGGATATGTTTGATTTTTCCCCGCTGGTGTAAAGGGAATCTGTGTCTACTGGACATGTTGTACTTTTTCTCCAGGGGGTCTGCACCCGACCTGTGGGTTGTTTCTGCTAGTATGAGCCCAAAAAGTGTACCATGAGCCGACACACCCAAGGGTCGCTAACTCACATTCCTTTCCACCAAACGGTCATGTTCAGTCAGACAAGTTCCACCAGCTGAACCCCAAAAACAAAAACCACCTTTTTCCATCCCAGAAATTTGTTACCATGTGGAACGACTTGGTGGCGCAAATATATTGTTTCACAGTTGCTGGTTGAAAAAGCAACTGGTGATCCAGGCATAACCCTTTCCTTTCACTTCATTGTTGGCAAGTTGTTAGGTTCTTTGGTGGTTTGGTTCTGTTCATGGCTTTAGGTGCCGTTTTTGCCACCATACTAAGGGTGCGAAAGCTTCGCCCTGCGATAAATATTGCCCCTAAGTTCATTTCAGCTCTTTGGGTTTGGACCATAGTGGCAAACCAACAGCTCGCTGACTTCTGCCCACTCCGGTGACTTCCATTTGCTGAAACGAAGATGATTCTTATTTGTTTTCCTTGTTGGTTTTAAAGGGAATCGATTTCACTACTATTTAAAAAAAAAAAAAAAAAAAAAAAAAAAAAAAAAAAAAAACGGGGCGAACAAGCAGATGGAAGGTGAGGAATCCCGTCACCCGTCTTGCGCGCGAGGCGCGGGTGCTTTGTGTGGACTTCCCCGCCCTGGAGGTCTCCTTCGTGGCGGAGATTGTGGGCCCAGAGGGCGAAGTGATCTGCGCGCTGCCGGAATCGGCGCCCCTGGACGCTTTGTGTGTCTAGGTCCCCCAGTAGTGCCCTTCTCTCCCCATTTTTTGGGGGGAGGGTTCCCCTACTAAAATAGACGACAGAAAGAAGGGCACCCTTATTCTCACCTCTCTACTGGAGGGAGGACCTAGGTGTGTTTGCCGTGTGTTTTATTCTCGGAAAGTGCTTGTGGAGTTGTCCATTCTTTGGACGTCCATATGCAGGGTGTGTTTCCTCGGAAATGTTTTTTTCTTTTTTGTTTTTTCCGGTGTGTTGACTTCCATGCGCGCTGTTCAGAGGTTTTGGATAATTTTGTGTTTTCTTGTTTTGCTTCTTCATTTGCTTTGTGTTTCCTGTTTTCTTTTGGGGGGGTTCTGTTCAGTTGTAGCGGGGGGTCGCAAAGACCAAGATGTGTTGTCAACATTCCAAGGCAAACTTGCCATGTAGAGACCTTTTTTGGATGTTCCGCCACAACAACGGGTTTATTTGAAGAACCTGCAAGCGGGGATTGCAAGTTGCCTGGGTGTATCAGGACTTGCCGAAAACCCACATTTTGACCTGTGGCGTTTTGAAGGTGATCACATCTTCTTTCCAGGTGCTTTAGGGGGAGAAAAACGCAATGCAGAAAACTGGACTTGGACCTGTTTGCCTACTTGTTTGTTTGTGTGATTATTGGTTTGTTTTATTTGCCTGTTGTGTTGCTGGTTTTCCTAGATTTCCCTCGTTTTCTTTGGGTGCTTTGGCAAGTGAGGAGAGCGGCACCAAATTGGCTCAGTGGCCGAATGTGAAAAGAGTTGAAAGAGCCACTCGTCCAATGCTGAGTTTTTGACCTGCTTTTCCTATCGCCCATTTCCTAGTCAACCGTCCAAGGGTCAACATGTGTTGAACCTTTTTCTTGTTTCAGGTTAACCATGTTTTGTAAAGTGCCTAAAAGGGGTCACCCCTTTTTTATGAGGCCCTTCGGTTTGACAAACTACAAGGATTTCAGTGATGCGGGTGTCGCCGATGCGCTGATGCTGTCCACCACGTATTCTGCCGTCGCAAACGACGAGCTCCTTCTCCGACTGCAGCAGTGTCGGCCAGGTTTGGGCAGACCTGGCAAAACTGGACATGCGACTCAGAGCAAAAAACGGCGGGATTCTAGGGTTGATTCCTTGTCCATTCTTTTCAACTATCGTTCTTTTCAAGCACCAGCCGTTTGCTCTGGGTTTCCGGAGGTTTTCTGGAAAGAAGGGTCCCTGGAAAGAATGGGGGAGGTACCCCTAGAGGGATTTGACCTTGCCAGACAAAAAAAAGGGAAACCCAGTGGTTTTCGTTAAGGGGACTGAGTTCATTCCCAAACCCGGACCGAATCTCAAGCATTTGAGGTCTCAAAAGGTAGCCTTCTCTCTGCAAACAACAGGAACGCCTACAGGAGGTTAGCCCCGTTTGGATATGTGTGTTTGTTTGAGAAGAAAGGACCCCCCAAATGCGTGGTTTCCTTATCGCTTCTCTTAAAGCCCGAAAGGGTACACTCAAAGCAACACGCATGCCCATGTCCCAACTTTCATGATTTCCCTGCTGGATTCTGAGATGGTATATGGACACCGAAAAGAAAAATACCATCCCGGGTCCCCCAAAAAAGACACCCATCTCTTTTTGCCAGATGTGCAAGGTGATGGTGCACATCAATGCGGAGGGGAGTCCCAATCCACAGGAAGCTGTGTTCGCCCAGTGCGTGTCGTGTATACGTCAGGCGGGGATGTGAAAATGTCAGTTTGCTGACTTGGTACCCTTCTTGGTGCCACCCTTATGTTTTAAGGGAGGGGGTGTTCCCTAACATGACAAAAACGTCCTGTTGTATTTCCTGTGCTGGTCTTGGTCTTGCTTATCCCTACTGCAAAGAGCTTCTTTTTCTGCCACATGGAGGTTGCATTGCTGTTGTTGGCATCGGTTTTAGTGGTTGTTTGGTTCTCGTCATTTGTAGGGCCACAACCAACAAGTTCTTTTTTGGCTTCCATACCAAGGGTTGGACAGGTTGTTTAAACATGGTTGAGTATGTTCACATCTCTCTCAGCTAGCCTACGTGCTTTCCAATCTCGCATGGATCCCGCCAGGTCCGCTAGGCAAACTGCCATGGCAGAGCTAGCCACCAATGACCAAGCAACGTTTGGCTGATATAGCTTGTCGAAACTATGGACCCTTTGGGGACCTGCCGCCTTGGGCCATTTGCTGGAATGATGTGTTTTTACTTCGGAAACAGGGAATCGACTTCACCACTGCTGGACCTATGTCCTCATGTTGTTATTGTTGTGTTTGTTTGTGTTTTCTGCTTTTTTTTCTCATGTTCTCCAGTTCTTCCGGGATCCCCTCTCTCGGGGAGAAGTATCACCTGTTGGATGTTGTGCTTTTGTCCGGGGGGGGAGGGGGTTGGCTTCCATATCAAGGGTTGGAAAGGTTTTGCAATCATGGTTGACTGACTTCCTGAGTTCATGAACTTTAAACTTTTTGGGAAGACCATTTTAGTGGTACATATAAAGTTTGGACTTTTGTTGGGGCCATCCACTCGGCACGTGAGTTGAGTATGTGGGGTGTTTTTGTTTTCTGACTGTCGGTTCCCTTCTTTGGGCCACCATTTAGGTCAAACATATGGGACTGTCTGGGGACGACCGCCTGCCATTGGCCGAAATGAGGTCCTTTGTGATTCTGTTGGGCCACCTAGCTTCTTTTTTTTGTTTGTTTCTTTTCCGGGGGGGGGGGGGGGGGTGGAAGAAGACTTCGTCAAGGGATTCGTTTCCCTTGGGATTTGAACCCCGCCGCGAGGCGGGTTTCAAGCCATTGGAGCAGCTCTCCCTGGAGCCCTTCTCCCACTCCACGGCGGTGATCCTGGCGCGGCTCCCGGACAAGCGCCCCGCGGCCATGGCCCTGGGAGGCGAGCCGGAAGCCTAGGCTGAGACGGACCTCTGCCACGAAGGCGACAGCGAAGAAGGACCGCGGACCTCGGAAAAAGCGACATGTGCGCCAAAGACCGTCCATCCGCTGAAATGAATCGTGCCTGGTCTTTTGCTTTTTTTTGACCTGAGCCTGGTGGTGTTAAAGGGAATCCAATCACTCGAGAGATGGTCTATTTTTCAGGCTGAAGCAAATGGAACAGATTCAATCATGGAGTCTGAAATCAACGTCACCTAAATCGCAAGTGGTTTTTCGCTTTTGAAAAACCAGCTACCGTCACTTTTGTTTGGGTGAAGAGTCTGGAGAAAAGCAAAGGCAACTTGGCGATCCAGGCGGTTTTGATTCCTAAAGGGGTTGCAAGCCTGGGTTCGTTGATGGTTGGTATTATGGGCGGTCGTTTTGTGGAAAGGCCATGGCCCGATAAGGGTGGCTCTTCTTTTTGGAGTTGGTACATTCGTACCCCTTGTTTGTGTGCATATGTGTCTTTAGGAAAACAGGAAGAGAAACGTTGCGCCATTTTGGGGTCCTGGTCCGATTCCTGACAAAAGCCGAGGCACCCATGTAGAAGCCCTCACGGGACAAAAAATCCGGCCGAAACCATTTGCGGTGGATGGGATGGCCTCTGAGGCGCATTAAGCCCCATGTGCCCCCGTTTTAGTGGGGAATCCAGGGGACCCCCTTGATCGGGGTATTAATCAGGGGTCAACAGTACTGGGGCGAACGACCTGACTGGATTTGGAAGGTCACCGACAGACTTGAACCCCAGGGGAGCCAGGCCCCAGGTGTTATGTTGGTGGAAAGGGTACTCAACCTCTGGTTCACCGGTTTGTTTCCTGAAGCGACCATTCTCGGTGCTTAGTGCTTGGGACCAAGTCAGCTTCTGATTCCAAAGAATCGGGTTCTCAGTCGTTGCCCCCCAAAAAAAAAGCAGCCAGAAAAAATCGAACGCCCTCTGGCTTCCTTTAAGGGAATCCCCCAAACGCATCAAATTCCCAGCATCCCACAGGTCATTCCCTCTCGCGCCAGGCACTACGTCCTGAAGCCAGAGAGATGGAGCACCATCTCCCTGGAGGGTCGCCAGTGCAGAGCCCCAGTCAGGGAATCAGAAAAATTGGTGAAGCCAGAGGGAGGTGGATCTTTCTGTTTGTTTTTTTCTTTTTCCGCCCCCCCCCCCCCGTTTGTGTTTTTGCTCTTTTCGGTTCCCTCTTTTTTTAAAAGGGGGGGGCTGTCTGGTTTTTTGTGGCCGGCGGTTAACCTCATGTTCGAGGTTGTGTTCCTGGAGCTCTGGCGAAAAGAGAAGCCAAAGGCCCATGTTGAGATTTTCTGTTGGAGACGTCAGCCTTCCCAAGACTGACTTCGTGCTGGAAAATCGATTGGAAAGGCGCCACTGGTGAGAAAACCGGAAAGAAAGAATGCCAACAAAACGAGCCGTTTGTTGGAAGACCCTGCCCGTCGAGGCTGAGGATTGCAAGGTTGCTACTTATGTTAGGAAGACAGGGCCCGGTCCGCTTCCGTTGGAAAGAGAGTACCTGAACCCTCAAAGTTCCCTTAAAAATGGGTTTGACCCCCAAAATTATGGGGTGATATCCAATTTTTATGGGTAGTTTGAGGGTCCAGGTAATTTTAACCCAGCATTAATAAGCCCCTACATGATTAGCATGAGGTGGTGATGGGGTCGTGACTTTTGGAGGGGAACACCCGCAGATTGCTAAACGGGGATTGATTCATCCGGGGTTAAGAACTTCCTTGACCGAAGGCCGCATAAGGCAGAAACGGCCCGCCCCCCGAAGCCGGCTGCCCCCAACCGTGTTTCAAGCAAGCCTTCATAGAGGAAATAAGGCCAAAAAGAAGGCCGAATTCGGCTTTAACCGTCCAGCCGAGATGGTCGCTGAAAGCAAGACTTCCAAGTCCCTGACTCCCTCGGCCTTGTCCGCGAAGTGCCTTCGGCTTTTCCGCCCGAGGTTTGTGAAGTCCGTGCTGGAGGCGGGAAGTGTCTGCCGCGTTTGGGGGAAATCATTTGGGTTTTCCATTGAACCCACAGAGAGTGACACTTGTTGCAGAGGGGTTAACAGCAACCAAGGTGCTGGCTCGAGAGACGCTTGTGGTCCAAACCGGCTTTGTTTTTTTTGCAATCCGCCCATCTGCTCGGTTATCCAGGGTTTTAAAGCCCTAAGAAGGCTAACCCCATGTGGGGGACTCAATGTTGTGGGGTTACCGAGGTTGCCGTTGTCAACTGGCAACGATGGGGTAGCCTCAAGGTTGGCCTTTGAGGTTAGGGCTTCGAATTGGCCCAGTAGTGCCGAATTTTACCTAGGTACCCCAAGGGATCAGCCGAAAGAAAGTTGTTAGTTATATGGCGAAACGTCTAGGATTCACTGGGGGGGGGGGGGGGGTGGTGTTCCTCGTGGCTTTCCCGATGCTTTCCCCGTAACGCCAAGGAGGGTTCGCCAAACAATTCACGACGCCACTCATGTTTGTTCAGCTCTCACTGGAGATGGAAGCTTGCATTTCTGGAGCCAGGGCGACCAGAAAAAACCACCTGGACCCTCAAACTACCCATAAAAATGGGATATCACCAACCATAAGTTTGGGGGTCAAACCCATTTTTAAGTTGGAATTTCGAGGGTTCAGGCAGGGTCTATCACGGCGCGGTGCGCCAAGCGACGGATCCGAGGCTGGGGGCGGAACGCAAACGGAAGGCCGCGCCCAACTCAAGCGCCAGGACTCAGTGCCGGGTCCTACGAAACAATCAAAGGGGTTTGAACCTTGCAACCAAGAATGCCAAAGAGAAACCAAAGGGAAGCTGAGGGAAATCCACAGAGAAACCAAAGGGAAGCTGAGGGAAATCCAAAGAAATCCAGGAAAGCCAACAAAAAAGGCAATAAAAGCCAGGAGAAGCCAAAGGGGAGGGTTTCGCCCTCTGTTGCGAAAGCCGCCCGGGGCGAGGGTTTCGCCGAGCGCATCTCTCGCAGGTGGACCCCAACAAGCGGCTCACGGCAGCGCAGGCTTTGCAGCATACCTGGATCAAGAACAGGTGGGGTCAGGGCTGTGGGATCAAGGGGTTTCTCCAACCACTTCTGCGATACTTTTGGGAATCCCCCTGTATGTGAAAAGCATAGTCTTTGGGAAGCCCTTTCTGTTCTATCACAGAAGTGGATTCCATTCCCCACAGCCCTGGGCGGGGTGATCTCGGCCCGGTTTCACCGTTGCCTTCGTTCAACCTGTGGCTGGTCTTTTTGGAGTCGGTACTGGAACTTTTGGAGGTCCCTTTGCCACTTTTGGGAGGCAAGGGAATCCCCTGCAAAGTGATCCACTAGTCAAGAGCGGCAATCAAATCTTGAAATGAGATGAATGATATGACTCACTTCCCCAGTTGTTTGAGAAACACAAATTCTGGAGTCGGTTAGGGCAATCAACTCAGGAAGCCAACAAAATGAGCCACGTTTTTGGTCTGCCAACTCAGGGAAAGGGTGAGAATGGTCCAGTTGTTCAGTGGATTCTGACCCCCTTAAACTCCCTTTTCGCTTGGATGTGGGGCCCGCTAAAAATGGTCAACCCCCAAAGTTATTACAACATGAGTTTCTAAACCCAGGATATGATTCTTCCGAGCAAGTTTTGCTTGCGCAAGGATACAGGCAAACTGGGCCTCACTCAGTCGCTGTTCGCTGTGCACTGTCAGGGCTGAAGTGGCCTCGGACATGGTGGACAAGGGCGTGGTGGACCTGACAACTTTTTTCTGTCGGCAGATGGTGGTGGGACGGTGGATTCTATGTATGCTCCCCTACAAGTTAAGATGGAACCCAGAAGGGGGCCGCGAAAGGAGTGTTCTTTGCTTCCATGTTAATCTCTGGGGGAGTAAGGTTGGTAAGTTTGCAGAGGGTATTAGATGTCCCCGCAGTTTGTCACGACGACTTCTTCGGGCGTTTTGCTTCGGATTTCCATCGGGGACAGGCTGAAGGCTATATCTTCACAGGAATCAAGAATCGGGCACAAGGGGACAACAGCCAAAGGTGTGGCCGGTTTTTGTTGCATAGATGAGGTAACCCTTAGTTGGTGGTTTAGGGATTTGAACCCCATGGTTCTTGTAGAGGGTCAATGGGACACCCCTCCTTTCCTTCCAGATACCGAAAGCCCATTTTCCCTTTTTCCCCAACAGCTGAAAGCTTTGGGGTCTCAGCCCAGATAGGCTCCGGGGTGGTCCGGGGCGGGCCTGAGGTGAGGTTCCACGAGGGTTCCACCAGGGTTCCACCAGGGTTCCACCGAGGGTTCCACGAGCTTCTGCAAGGGCTGCGGGGTGGTGCGAGCACAAAGAGCACTGCATGCTGTTGGGGATATCACCTGAGCTTATTTAAAAGAACAATGGTTCAAAAGAAAGGATCACATGGAAACTTCCCAGTGAACGGGCTGGTGGGCACAGGGCGTGCACTCATCGTCATACCCAAGTCATACGGTGGATGCCCTAAATATAGCCTTTCCATGCTTTTCCCTGTGGGGAAGTCATCAATGGATCTCCCAAGTCTTTGGGCCACTTGGGACGACATGTTTGGCACCTGAACCCGCAAAGTTCCACCTTAAAAATGGGTTTGACCCCCAAAATTATGGGGTGATCTCCCATTTTGGGTAGTTTGAGGGTCCAGGTACAAAGAAACCCTTGAGGTGCCCATCAATCCAGCTTCGATCCGACTGAACTCGGGAAGAGCCCTCAGGAAGCGAGAAGGAAGTCAAAATCCTAGGTCAAACTCAGCTGAAGCGAATCAACCTGACCTGACCCTTTTTTCTCCCTTGGCCTATTTTTAGGCAAGGTGTCAAAAGGTTGACCTTTTGAGCAACTGAATATGAAGGAAGGGGTTTGGAGGTCTTTCCCTAACCTTCAAAGGGCGCAAATCATCGGAGCAAAACTGCGGATGCTTCACTAAATTGTGCCATCGACGGAGGCTCTTGCTTTTTTTGGTTTGGGCCCTCCCAGGAAGTCTTAGACTAAACAAAGTTAAGTCTTTGTTCAAAGACCGAAGTTTGGCTTGGAAGACCGAACTTTGACTTGCGCTATTTCTTCCAACCGTATCAGCAATATTATTGGTCATTTTTTAGGACGTTGGCCCCGCTCAATGTTTCCGCAGCAACATATTTGAGTATAGGTATATATGTTTGGTTGTTGCCACGCCGATGGCGCTAGATCTCGTCCACTTGCTCGACATGCGTTGGCGTTTTGCGCTGCCCTGCTTGCTGGCTCGCTTCCTTTCAGATTTCATAAAGAACACCGTCAGCTCCTCCCGAAAGCGCACACACAAACGGCTGAACGGCTGAAAGCAACTTGTGCATGTCACATGGTCAAATGGTATAGAAGGGGAAGGCTTCAACAGCATGAAGATGAGCTATGGCAACGCACTTTCCATTCGTACCCGAGAAACAACTAAACACGCGCAACCAAACAGCAGCATCGCAACCCGGCCAAAAGAAGCCATGAAAAAACACCCATAGCCAGAAAAGGGGCTACATACCAACCTGCACTCCTGAAGCGCATTTCGTGCGCTCCTATAAGGTCAGCTGTTCTGCTTTGTGCTTCTCGATTGTTCAGGCCAGTTATGCTGAACCCAGGCTCACAGCTTGCAGAGCGTAGGAAGCCGTACTACATATCAAGCGCATAAACAATATGTAGGAGTATGTGTGCGAGCCACTACGATGTGTTATGTCTGTTCGCCTTCCGCTCAGGTGCCATTCCGCTACACTCAGTAGAACTGTGTGTCGATCCTTCCTAGCATTTCAACATGTAAGTGTCTCCGTTGCGCTTCCATCCGCCATGGCTCCAACCAGTATTTTAAATGCGGTTGCGGTTGCCCGTTTGTATCTTGTGACACGCGCAACGTCAAAGGCACACCGGCGACAACTGTAGTCTTATGCACTGCAGGACCACGCACGCTTGACAACATCCATGAGCACCTGTGTTACTGTGACATAAACCAAAATTAGGACCGTGTATCGAAAAGCGAACGTATGTGGCGCTGCCAAGAATCTTGCCCTCAAAAACACGTCTTCCCACAGCAGGGCGATTATTCGCGGACAACTGAGTTGCTATGGAGCACTTGCCTGGGAAATTTGGAAAACGTGGGGCGTGATGCACCCGTGACGGAAGCGTGGTAAGACCAAACTTTACCGCGGTAAGACCGAACTTTGCCGTGGTAAGACCGTGGTTTGCCACCCCCGCCGAAATCTCGATTCTGTGCGCTGGATGCCGTGCTGTTTTTTGCGAAATTGTTCCGAACATGTTGGCTTAGGGTTGCTGAGCCTTGGCATTTTTAGAGCCTAGGCCGGTAGTCAACGATCAAGCGCGCATGAGGCAAGTGTCTGCGATCCGCAAAACAAATATACTATACTCAGAAACAAGCTGCCATGATGTGCGTGCCAAGGATCTAGCACGCTGCTGCAACCACATCAGCAACAACATTGACAGAGTGGTTTTGCGCTTACCGTTGTGTTTGTCATTTGCTCCTGCCCCCTACCATCGGCCAAGAAAATGGCCGGATTTGGCGTTGAACTTTGTAGGGCTTTGCAAGTAGCGCTCGTGGCGCAGCCGGCAATGAACCACATAGGTGCATGCCACGGCCTGTAATTAGCTTGGCTGTTGCTACGATGTCTCAGTAAAGCAATGAATGGAAGCTTAGCCAAGAAGGGAAACAAGGCAAGAAATTGCCCACAAAAAACGACAGCCAATGAGTTCCACAGAGTTGCAAGATGTCGTTGCAATCGCGTTTAGGCTGCAGGCCTGGGCTTTAAACAGCGTAGCGACAGAGCGTTTGTTACGTTCAACTTGCTGTGATATTGCGTGCAACATAGCATGTATCAGCATTTGACAGGGCGGCGTGGCTCGTGACACCACTAGTGTGAGTTCTATCTCGCTTGGGCATCCATGCGGTGGAGCCTGCAAAGAGAGTAAAATGAAGGGAGGCAAGCGCACGGTCTGCTAGAGGCTTGTGAATGTGAGTGTGCGTGGGCGTGCGTGCTAGCATATTATGTGTTTTCGGTGTCAGAATGCTACGGCAGATTGTAGAGTCGTCGTTTTTGCCGCAGCATTTCATGTTTCTTTCCACACCTATTGTCGTCTGAGCGCTATCTGCTCCAGCAGGGCCAGCCAGTCTACCCTTGTTGTATCCGCGTGCGCAAAACGCATGGACCTTAAATTTCTGCAGATCTCTTTGTGACACGTACACAGGCATAGTCGTTCAACATACATTCCCCCTCATTTCTTATGACCTGGCCAGGATCTGAGTCCGGGCGTGATTTGCGTGACGCGCGTGATCGCGGCAAAGAATGGTCCACTGTAGAAAAACCGTTTTTTACATAGTCTTTGGACTTCCTGGGCCCTATGAATTTCCTCTAAATCAATCTGCAACCTGTCCCTAACATCCTGAGTTTGTCCTTTTCGGAGCTGGTACCCGCCTCTTTTGTTGCTTTAACGATCTAGAAACACACGAGCCACCCTTTTGGTATGGTCCCTAAACCCCCCCCCCCCCGGCACTGCTCAGCCGCGCCTCCGAATCCTCGCCAGGTCGACGCCCTGCGGGCCTTTGGAAAAGTCTCGAAGCGCGGGGCTCGTCGCTTCTTTTTGGGAGGTGGGCACCCCGAGAGAAAACATGTCTTCCATGTGGTGTCCCTTTTTTGAAGAATGGCTGTGGTCCTGCCGGAAAACTGGAGTACCCGCGTTTGTGTCTTTTTTGGGAGGTAATTTCCCTGTTTCAGGTTGGTTTGAGGGGCGCCGTTTGTGGGGCGAACCTTTCGGTTTTTGTTCGTGGGCATGATGTGTCAAGGGGAAATGTAGGGAAGCTTGGGAGGACTCAGCGGCAGGGGCCCATCATTGTTTGACCTCCAAGTGATTGATGCACCCAAAAGACAGGCTGGGGATGAAGAAAACTGGGCCCCCGACCTGAAGACCGCTGATTGTCCTCTCAGCTGTCGCGAGAGTTTGGAGAGCAACCCCATTTTCCTTGCGAGTCTTGCGCACATTTAGTGTTGAAAAGGGCGTGCGGGTTGATGAAAATCTATCCTTATTCCTTATGCCTGATGGTAGTTGCCCTTGTGGTGGCATCCAACGGATCACAGATTAGGATCTGACTGAAACCTTGGGAGCTGAACGCCGGCAGCTGGCGGGAATTGGCGGCCAGTAACCCAGGCACCAACCAGCTCAACTGAGTAAGTCTATGCCCATCGCGCAAAGCAATTGATACGGACAGAAAGATGCAAATCCAGTTGGAGGCAGGTGTCTTGAAAGCACCGCCCGCCCAGGTTCCGCCGATGTTGCATGGAGATGATGGCATGGTCGTTGTCCAACGAGGAGAGAGCGCAGGCCAGATGTGATCCGGCCGTGCCATTGACATGTGAGACGCATAGTGCATTTGTAGAGCACGAGAAGAGGGTGCCTAGACCAAAACAAGATCATTGCTGGAGGGCTTCTTGTGGATTGCTGTTGCATTTGAGGTCGGAACATGCCGAATTCTCGCCAAACAACTGCGTGAGAAAAGTCGGCCGTAGCTTTCCGATGTTCTTTTGGAGCTTCGACGAATGCTTGTGCCTCTTGCTTCAGGTGATTCGCGTTTGTTGTTTTTTGTGCGGGCATTGTTTTTTTTTGTGGTTTTTGGGGGAAGCTTGCAGGGAGCCCAAAGGAAAGCGCCCATGAGACAAAGCCAACGGTCAATACTAGGCTATGGGTTTTGGATTGGCCCGATGCTCGGTTTTTGCCGCATGTTGGGCCATTCTCTAATGATGTTTTGGGGGGCAAATCAAGGCAAGCTTTGTTCCTTAGTGGCACCAGAGTCTGTACTGAAGTGGGTTTTAATGAATCCTTTGCAGTGTTAACAGAGCATGTTTGGACCTAAGATGAGTCTCCTGGAGGTTGGACATAGGACCTATAGGACCCATTTTCAGATTCAGATCCAACGCTAGGAGTGGATTTTCAACCCAGGCAGAAAGTGCTGGGTCAACGTTTGGTGCCATCGAATTTATTGTCCATGATGATTCTAGTCCAGGTTTATGGCTTGTTTTCATCTTGAACCAAGGCAGGATGTCCATCCACATGGAAGCCACCCCGATCCTCTGGCCAGGTTACCGAAGACTTCTTGGCCCTCGATCGATCACAGCTCCTCAGATGACAAACCGATTTTCTGAAGCTGCGAGGGGCTCTGGTTCGCCACCCCTAAAGTATAGCCTCACTTGCTGAGCTCCGTTTCGGACTTTACTCATTTAGTTGGGAAGCCCATTTTAGTGGCCAGACCTTTCCTTTGGGCGAATCCACTCGATCGGAAGTGAGTGGCCGAAAGATGCTATTACCGCCAGAAAGGGGGAGGACAGCCAAAAGCCATGCTGCGGCTGGACAAACTCCACGATCCCCGCACAATTCGATAAATCAGGTCCTATGGGCCAGACGGACAGATCCCTGCAAAATGGATGCATTCTATGGGAAGCCCGAAAAGGCCTGTGCCAAAAGGAGTGTTCTTTCCTGACAATGCGGTATCGGAGATGAATCTGGAAAGTGGCCTTCTTGGTAAAGGCAGCCCCTCAAAACGTTCGGTTGCCCCAGTTTGAACGGCAGAAATGTTTGTGAGGGAGCAGATCAACCCCTGAATGCAGCCCAGGTTTCCCGTAGCACGCGATATGGCTCAGCTAAGAATTTGGCTCCCCAAAAAAAAGAACAGTGGGTTCCCTCTTCATTTCAACAAGCAACCGGATCGCCAGTTGCGATGGCTTCTTCCCAGCAACGGTGACTGATGTTTAGGTAAAGTGTACGGAAAGAGGCGAGCGCAACTCGGCGATCCAGTGGCAACCCCAGAGAGCCAAGCACCCGCCGAAAATTCGGTGGCCTTCCGTTCCTCAGATTGTCCGAGGCAGGGGACCATCAAGATGGGAGACCTGAAGCAGGCCGGGGATGCCAAGTCTGGCGTGTTCCCCCCCCCCCCATATCTATATATTGTTTTTTTACACGGTCGAGTTTGGTCGGTGCGGTGTGTCCCCCCCCATGTCGATTGTCCGTTTTAGGGCTCCCGACATGTCCGCGTGGGTTTGCTGAGCACGCCCTTTGACAAAGGTGTCCTAGCACAGGGAAAGAATGTGAGGTTTGCCAAAACACTTCAGTTGGACTTGAGGCCTTTGGACTTCAGTTGGACTTGAGGCCTTTGGACTTTGTGGGCGAGTTCCCCCCCGAACCTCCAGGAAGGATTCACGAAGGTTTCACGTGGTCGGCAACCCCCTTGAAAGTTCTCAAAGGGAATCCACTGGAATGCACTGGAAGCTTCAGAGCTCCAGTGCTGCGTCGCGTTTCCTCGCTTGGGGCTTGGCTTGAGGGGGACGGCAACCAAATGCGTGTCCTCTTTTGCCCTCTGACTGGCGGAAGGAGATTTCCCGCTGTGTCTGAGCCGACGGAGGGGTTGAATCGGTCTCACGACACGTCTCCTAGGTCCTGGCCGGCAAGTTCAACATCTCCAACGAGGCACCGTCTTCTGCTCGGGTTTGGAGCTGGGACCGGGGATGCATCGCTCCAGAGAAACCCCGGAAAGCCGGAACTGGCCCCAAAATCTCAGGTTGCCGTTGGGGGTTTGGGTTGTGATATTTGGTTTTGTCTGTGTTGCCTTATTTCGGCTGTGTCTAAATGGGCGGACCCCGAAAATAGGCGGGTTCGGTTCCCGTTGGTTTCCCAATTTCAATACGAAGGTTCCAAAAACGACAGACACCCCTGGTCATTGGCAACACTGGAACAGGTGTTCAGCGGCCCCGAATCTCTCCTCTTCGCCTGGGTTCCCACCAAAAATGGGTCAACGGGTCAAGCCCACAAAGGGTCCCCTTCCACGCCGAGAAACGGAAGGAAAAGCAGGTACATTTCGTCTCAGAACCCTGAAGTCCCGATGGAAAGCCATGGGAAAAAAGCTCGCGGATTTCCGGGCCCGAAAAATTTGGCGCGGCTTTCTGGGAGTTGGTTCATGGGACCTGAGTTTGCCCATGGGATGTGAGTGTAGGAGGCCTGTTGAACCAAGCCGCATGCGGTTCTGAAGCCGGCATGCGGAGCGTCACTTGAGCTCCGGATCTGGAAGTGACCGGTGAACCCTGGGCTTCGGAACGGGTGGCCGGTGGTGAATCCGCCACTGGGTATGAATTAAGCCTCTGGCAAGGCGTTTTTTTGTGTGACCAACAGAGGGCCCCGACCAGACAGGCGCCCCAAAAGCGACACCCAAGAAGACCGTGCAGGAGACTCGGTTGATCTTCGACGCGCTGGACTCCAACCATGACGAGGATCGGCCATGTCCGTTCCCGCCGCAGGTCTTTGTCCCATTTCAGGACGTTTGGGGAATTCCATGTGGAGCTGCATGTCCAACTGAAAACATGTTCCAAAAAGACTCAGCAGGGCTATGGCAGCCTGGGGTCGGAGAAAAAAAAGTGGGCCGTTTGAAACATCCCCCGACAAGGCGGCTAAAAAGCGGAGTCCAATAAGGGCCATGCTGGCCAGACCTGCACTGTTGGTTACATGTTTGTTGATTCATTGCCCTGTGTGGATGTTTTGATTCCCAGATGTTCTTGGTCCTTGGAAGTGAACAGGGCTGTGGAAGATTGAAACGGCCCCGATTTCAACATGTTTTTGCTGGCTTCGTTGCTCCTGCTTGTGGTACATGAGAACCGACCTCTGGTTTTAATGGTTGGAACGTGTTTTAGAATGGTTGGACCTCTCCACGTCCAAAATGTCGGCTCAGTCGCAGGTCCGACAACTTACAACTTGGTTGGACCTCATGTGGCTTTGCGGGGGTGGGGAGATTCTCAAATCTTCAGGCGTGTCCAACGGCGAATTTTGACCCATTTGAATACTGTTAGACCCCACTCGATATGAACCAACAACCAACATGATGTAGTCCAGGCCGCCCAAACAAGCTTGGGCTGGAACTGGGCCCCCACTAATCCGCTGCCCTTCAGGTAACCGATGTGGCCACAGGTGGTTGAATTTGGACAAAGAAATAGGGACCCCTTTATGGATAGGAAACCAAAAAGCCAAGCGTTGCAGGCGCTCCTCTTAGACACAACCCTCTGTGCTGTCGATGGAGTTCAATATGCCAACGGGGCTTCCCCTAAGATGCGTTCCAGCCACAAACGTCTAGCGCTCTATGGAAGCTCGGGATTGCCTGTGGCACCTGCGGGGAGGGGTACCTGGATAAATGTCCTTTTGGAGGGACCCAGGTACTAGATGCCATGTTCGTGGTAGAGAGGGTAATAGACATGGACCGATGGACCTTGGAAGCAAGCAGCTCCTTGGAAGACTTTCCCCAGCGTTCCTCTGCGCGAAGCCATGTTTTTCTTCAACAGATGATCCCCCATTCCTTTCGCCCATTCGTTGGGGAAACCACTTTCAGGTTCCCTCAACGTTCCGCAAGTTTTGCCAAAAGAAGGATCCCTGAAAATGAAAGAAGTACCACCTGGATCGCCAGTTGCTGCCTTTTTTTCCGCACTTTACCCCAAAAACCAGCAACAGTGACTGAAAAAAGCGATCGCAACTTTGCTATCTAGGAACTGGAATTTTCAGATGGATCCAAAGTCCTTCGGCTCGAGCAGATCTCAGGAGATCCACTACTCCGATTTTCTGGCCGCCATGGTGGGGGCCTCAAAAAACCAGATTGGCCGCGTGACCCCTGCTCCAAATACCCGGCCTGGGTTTAGGGAATGTGGTCAACCCCTGACTAACAAAAGGAGGTGTTTGCCCTGGAAAGCCCGGTGTTTCCCACAAAAAGAGCTGGAAAAAGTGGAGGCTAGGGGCTTGGGCCAAGCCAGTTGTGCCAATGGTCTTTGTATCCGAAAGGCGCCAAAAACATCCAGACATCTACGTGATGTTGGGTGTGTCACCCGAGATCCATGTGGGTCTGTCTTTTGTTGAGACCCGTTTTTGGTGGGTGAAGGGAACCCAAAAAGGAAACCCGCCATTTTGGACGCTCGCATGAAAGATCCCGTGTGCAGGCTAGACTCTCCATGTGCCTCTTGTCCATGATAATTTCGGATGAATCTAGAGGACCACAACGGTCAGGCCCCGTTTAGCGGGGTGATTCATTCATTTTGGGGGGGTCTCTGATTTCTCTGATTATGGGGCTATTAAGGCAAAGTTGGCAGGAAAGCCGTGCAGCTTTGTTCACGAGAGAGGTGTTTCTTTTGAGGGTAGCCCTTTCTTGTGCCTTCAAGGGAAACCAAGAGGGAAAACCAGGTCTGCTTTGGAAAGACACACCCAAATGAGGTTGTAAACTGTTGGTCCATTTAGGAAGGACATGAGGGAAGCCGCTCAATTTCAACAAACCAAAACCCGGGGGCTCTAAATATCCCACATCTTGGACGTGAAATTTTGGCTGTGAGACGTGTGAGGTCAACACCCGCATTTCGCTGCACGATCATCTTTTGCAGGCCCGGGACCCGGGGGATTGGCAAGCGGAGCTTGCGCCCAGTTGGGCAAAATCTGAGACGAGGGGAAGTGGCGGAGGGCGGAATTGGCTTTTCGGGGGGTGAGGTGGACACACCTGGACCCTCAAACTACTTATAACCTGGATATCACCCCATATTTTTGGGGGTCAACCCCATTTTTAAGGGAACTTTGAGGGTTCAGGCATATTTTCGTGGCCCCGAACGGAAAGAGATGCTCTTGCTGAGAAGAGAAAGTAGCCTCCCGAACGTGGAACCCAAGACTTGAGGAAGATGGGGGTAGCGAAATCAGAAACTAGGTCCCATGAGAGATCAAAAACCTGAGCCAAACTCGGATTCATGGATTTCGTGTGCATGCATCGGCTCAGGCAGCCTTCAAGAAGTTCGACGTGGACAGCTGGGCACTGAAAGCATCGCATCTGATTTCGGAACCCATTTGCTGGAACCCACGGGTCCCCCGAAAAGCCTTGCCATTCCCCTTGTTCCCCTTTCACTTGGATGTAACTGTTGTGTTACTATCATATTGCACGAAATTGGTGGGCAATTTGTAAGTTGGAAAAAGCATGTTACACCACCCGTGAAAATTCTCGGTGGCAATAGTGCAGGAAAATCGGGGGCATCGGTGGCTGAACGTCCGTAAAGGTCTTGTCAACATTCACTCTCGCGACCTGGGCCCTTCATTCCCATGAGTTTCCCTTTAAATGAGCCTCAAAGAGGTTGCCTTCAAAAGACACGCACACACACACACACACACACAAAGACAAGCACACACATGTAGTGCCCCTTTTTCCATGGAAATCCACTGAACGCTCAAAGGAGCCAGGGTCAAAATCCGGGCAACTGGAGGGTCACAGAGGACAGTCCCAACCACAAAAGGACCTTGCATTTCTTTACAAGGGGGTTGAAGTCAACCGTTTTCTTACCAGCTTTTGATTGTGACTTAAATGGCTGTGAGTTCCAGTGAGTTCCAATGGAGAACCTCAAAAGCTGGTTGCACCAATCCAGGACTTAGAGTTTACCAGGTAAACCTTAAACCATAGAACCAACGTTCAGGTCAGCTCACCAGCGATTTCTTTTTCCACGCCCCGAGGCTCTGGGTACATCACCGCCTCCAACCTGCGTGACGTTCCCCCGGCGTTGGCTTCGGCTCCGGCGGGTCGTTTTTTTTCTTTTTTTCAGCTGACAGATAAGCAGCAAAAAGGCAGGGATGCGATGTACTCACTTCCTGAGCTCATGAGCTTCAAACTTTTTGGGGTTGGACCAGTTTGGTAAATTTATAAAGTTTGGACTTCTTTTTTTGGGGGCCATCCACTCAGCCAGCGAGTGTACTTGTCGGTTCTCAAGAAGGAATGACCATCCGAGGTTTGGAGAATGAACCAAAAAGGTGGTCTCCTGAAGGGAAACCACAAGTTGGAAGGTTTGCAGGGGTCATTCCATGTCTCATGCTGAGAACCAGCAAGTTTAACAAAAGAGCTACTTGGTTAACCAACTATGAGATTTTATGGTGGCCAGGGACATGGCATCAGTTCCATTGTCGTTTTCCTAGTTTTGGGCAAATCAACGAACCAAGCGCCAATGTGCTTTTCAGCCTCGAGACCAACTTGGGTAGCGCTTTATGGCTGCGGGCTCGCGAGGGATTCATGGCCAACGGTTTTCGGAAGCTTTGGCACGATTTCAGGGGTGATGCCCATTTGGTGCGATTGCACCAGCGGATTGCCCAGACTCAGCCCCTCAAGTGAGCCACAATCCAAGCACATTCGTTTCCAGGTAACAGTCGAAGGCTATGAAGGGGGTTCCAGGTCAACCCTATGAATCAAGGCAAACAAGAAAGCATGAGAAGAGCTTTGCCACGTTGCTAAGACCCTGCCATGTTTTGGTCGCCATCCCCATTCGAGTGATTCGCCAGGTCCTTGGAGAGACCTGGGAAGGGGAACAGGTGGAGAAGCTGCTGGCCGAGGCGGACATCCTGAAGGCGCGAGCCGTGCCTTTGAGCCACGCGAGCCCAGAGGTCCGGCTCGACCCGTAACAACTCGGTTCCCAGCCATCCGGTGCATGAGCTTCTTAGCTTTTTGGTGTTTAGTCGGGATTTCCAGGATCATGGCCAGAAAGCCTGGGTTCAATGGACGGATTGTTTGTTTGTGAGGATATGCATTCCGGCTCGCCTACCCGGTGGCAAAAAAAAGTGCCGCTGTTTTTCTGTTTGGCCCGGTGTTCCCTTGGAGCGTGGAAGGCAAACGAAAAGTTCAGACTTTGGATTGGATTTCCCAGGCTGCCGGCCATCCATGGACATGGATGGTGTTCCAAACCCCACCCAACCAGGGTAGGTGTGGGTGAGTTTCTTGGCAAAACATCCAGGTACTGGGCCGCTTTGGTTGCATCCTCAGGGGTACTCAATGTACTTGTGCATCGGCAAGCCTTTCGAAAAGGGTTCCTCCATGTCACTTTTTAGAACCTCCAAACGTTTCGATTGTTTCAATGGACACCACCAGTAGATTGATCAACTTTTACCCCTGTGTGAACCACCATCCAGATTTAGATGGAACCGTTTGATGTTAAATTCATGGACCTTGCTCGGGGTGTTGGATTTGGAATTTAGCAGGAAACCAAACCTGCTGGAGTTCATTGTGGAACTTTCCCAAACAAATGATGCGATGTCCATCTTAAAGGAAAAGGCATTCGTGAGGCCTTGGAGTCGTTGGGAGAGCGAAGCACCTTGCTACGACCTTAGGTCATGGTCTGTTGTGGGTTTGTCCCAGGATAAGAGTCTTAATATGATAAGAAGCCATGGACCCACCCCCCACCCGACAACAATCGCCAAGCCTCCCGCATTCCCTGACATCCCATCCCCAGGACAACCGCATCAGCTACGAGGAGTTCAAGTCGTATCTCCGCCGCACGGCAGAACAAGTTTTTGCCTTCGGAAATTTCCCCCAACCCCTCGCCCATTTCGGTCGAAATGGCAAGGAACCCAAGACAAACGGACCATATTCTTTTTTTTGGGGGGGGGCACCTTTCACACGCTGCCACATGCTCTGCTTGGGCATACGTTTTAGTCTACGGATGATTAAGTTTCCGGGTGCAAAACGAATGCGTGGTTTCTAAGGAAATACTGTACAGCATGGGCATTGTTGTGCCTGGAGCAGAACCGAACGCCATAAACCCACGGAATGCTTGTGATCCACTGGCGAATCTTATCGGAAAAAATGCGGTCAGATACAGCTTAATCTACCCTCCCCGGGAGCGAAAACGAGAAAATCTCCGACAAAAAAAAATGGCAGAACGAGATCAAGGACTCCCTTGAAATGAAGTAGTTAGCAGGGAATGCCAAGCATCTTGGATTTTCAGAATCATTTCCTGAGTTCATGAACTTTAAACTTTTGGGGAAGACCATTTTAGTGGTACATATAAAGCTTGGACTTTTTTTGGACTATCCACTCAGCCAGTGAGTTCAGAATCATTTCCGTGGAATTGTGAGGTGGCGATCCCATGAGCGTCCACCAGGAGCTTGCCACACAGGCCGATCGATCGCGCTTGGGCTGGGAAACCCCGAGCAACCGGCCCAGGTCCACGGGTGTTCGGGGGTTCTCCGAGTGGATGGCTGGGAAGAAAATCGCAGGGCTTAGCTTCGAAATGTCTACCTGAACCCTCGAAATTCCAACTTAAACATGGGTTTGACCCCCAAAATTATGGGGTGATATCCAATTTTGATGGGTAGTTTGAGGGTCCAGGTAGCCTTGTGTCGGGGTCAAATGGGAGCAACCAGGTCTGTTCAAATCTTTGTTTCAACAGTTGACGGCGGGCTGGGATCTAGCTCAACCAACCACATTTACCACCGTTCGATCCAACTCCAAGTCACTTGATTGTTTTTTCAGCTGCTTATGGGGGTTCATGTCGATTGAGAAACCCACAAAAGCCAGGATGCTGCACTGCCCATTCCAAGCATTCACGGACTGCGACGCTGGCTCACATGAGACTTGTACAAAACGGCATGCCCCTGGGACCTTTCTGTGCCCCAGGGAAAAGAAACTGGCAGAGCCTACAACCATTGCATGGCAAGAAGTGTTCACTTTGGTTCAGGGGTTCCCATATTTCCCTAAGCCAACTTAAACGTCACTTGTTGCACCAATAGGTGAGATTCCTCGTGATGTTCAAGGGGGCAAATATTCGAGAACTCGGAAGGCGGGTGTGGCGCAAGTTCAAGGTGGCTTTCAACATCACCTGAGGCTCTTTTTGAATGGGTGTCCTCCGAATAAAAATGTGCTTGCAAGATACAGGTTCTCCAAAGTTGAGTCTCCAAATGAGTGTCCTTTTGGCCGAAAAGAATTCCCACGTTCAATCCGATCTATATGGTTGGGCAATTTCAACCTTGAGGACAATTTGAAGTGTCAAAATACAGTGGATGGACGAAATCCTGCACCACATAAGAACCCATGGTTGAAACATGTTGAACCCATTGTTTGTTTGGCACTTACGTTGGGGACTCGCATCAGAAGCCCTAATTTTGATCGGGTGCGAGAAGCGGAGATTCGCGCAAGCAGGACCCCAAAACATCAGAGGCCCATAATTTTGGTTGGGCGCAAGAAGCGGACATTCTCCCATCAATCAGGACCCCAAAAAAGCATCCTGGACCCTCAAAATTCCAACTTAAACATGGGTTTGACCCCCAAAATTATGGGGTGATATCCAATTTTTATGGGTAGTTTGAGGGTCCAGGATCGGCTTTCCCGTTGCTTTCCTTTGGCCCGTCGCGAATGATTTTCCGGCCGAGGTGATTGACATCGAGCTCTCGAAGCAGAGCAAGGAGAGGCGAACCAGCATCAGAGGCGCCATCGAATCGAGGGCGATGGGTCTGTCTTTGGGGGGTGCATTGGGTCTTAAAGGGAAACCAAAAGCAGGATGACTATTGTGGGGGTCCCCTAAAAGCCGTTTCTGAATTCAGGTTGGGTGGAGATTCCTTTCTTGGCTTGGTTCCCTTTCTTTCGCCTTCAGAATCCGGCGATTTTCCAAGGGAAGGCCCGAAGATTGGTTGCCGCTCCCTTTACTCTAGTAGAGCGTCAGTTATGCAAGGCCACACAAGGCCACGTCAGCAACAGCATGGCTAGGCTATACAAGGCTATGTCAATGCAAGATCATGACAAGGCTGTACAATGCGATATCAGGTTGTTTGAGGGTATACAAGGCTATGCAAAGCTGTTGTCAAAGGAAGGCGCGGCTGTGTAAGGCTAAAAAGGATATAACAGGTTGTACTAAGAGAGCATACAAGGCTATGAAGGCTCTGGAAGGGTAAAACAAATCATACACCTGTACGACGTTGCTCAAGGCGATGTATGGCGGTATAAGGCAATATATAAGGCTGCAGGCATAAGGCTATAATATGCACCCCGGAGATGAGCAGTTCGCCAGATGGTTGCGTGATGCATGGCTCATTTTGGGGTTGCAGCGTTGGGATGGGTCAGACCCGATCGTAGCGAAAGGGTCAACTGGTGCCAACCTGAGCGCTTTCCCCAAGTTTGCTGTGAGTATCCGATTCGCATGGGATTTGTGTCTACTCGGCCCTGGACCCCTTACAAAAGGCCTTCTTCCCCTTTCAAGGAACTTCTTCCATCTACTCGTGCCTAAAAGGGAAAGGCCAACCCACCACCTTCCAATTCCTCCTGTATCAAGGGCACCGCCACACTTCCAGAGTTCCGTTTCGGACTTTCGTCACTTTTTGGGTTTGGACCATTTTGGTGGCCTGAACCAAAGTGCTGCTACCTTTTTCAGCCCATCCACTCGTTCGGAAAGGAGACCCACGAGAATTTCCGTCCGAGGCCGGCACGCCGCGGACATGGCGATGTCGCAGTCGACGGATCTCGCCCTCCAACCCGCCAATGGGGTGGCAGGCGAAATCTCGAGGGGTCGCTGGATGGTTCGATAGGCAGGGCATGAGAATTGGAATGAGAGCAAGATAGACCATCCCCGGCTTGGTGTCCTTTAAGGGATTCCCCAAGCACCAGCATGTCACCTACAACCCATGGGTTGCTCTTCTTCTTGGAGCCTTGTTTCTAGTGTTGAAGGCAAGCCAACTGGAAAACTACCATTGTGCCTAAAAATATCAGGACACCACCCACATGAATTATTTTTTCCCAACAAGACACGGTGGTATTGGAAAGGCCCTTAGAAAAGCATGGCGAACGCCTCACCAAAGAGCCCTTGGAGCTGCGTGCATATGGTTTTCCTTCAGCGACGGCGTGCATATGGTTTTCCTTCAGCGACGGAACGAAAGAGACGACCCCAATTACGAGAGGAATCTTCTTTTGGGGGATAGACCTTATTTTGGGCTTTCTGATTTTCCACTTCTAAGACGTCTTGCATGGTTGACCTTACATTCTGGCCTCGTGCTTGCAACCTGGTAGTCCTCGATCGATGTGTTTACGTCAACCTTGGTCCCCCCTTCTTGAGGAAGTCTCCTCTGGGATGATGAAGGCCAGACATCCAATGTGGAAGGTGTCCCCAAACTCCCATCGATTTTTTTCTGCAAACCTGAGTACTCCCCTACAAATTAACAGGGCTGGGCCGCTCTCAAACGAGAACTTCCTCGAAAGCACGGGTGTTTTTGTTGGTTCCATGTTAAACTGTGGGTTGCCCCAAACCCTTCATGGAATCGCTTGCCCCATTGGTGTGCTTGGAATCTCCCAGTGTGGTTTTGGTGCCGAGGCTTCAGAGAAATCAACGCGCGTCTCCGCGTCTCGCACCACCGAACTCAGAAACCCAAGAGAATGAAGATCGATTCCCCAGCGTTGCCAACAAACCACGGTTTCAACCACGGTTTCACTTCCTTCAGGGATTCGTTCATCCACAGCATGAGAATCCTTAACTTTACTTGCGAAGTCCTTGGTTTTAGCTGCATGAATTATGGCTGCGACTCGGATTTGTTAGCCAAGGAAAACAGACCGCAGCCGAAACGCAGCAGCAGAACAGTATTTTCGAGCTGGGTGTGTGGCGTGAGGCTACCCCAGCCCAAGAAAATGTGAGACACATCTAGAAGGACCCTCGACCCTCCTCCCCAGTTTTTTCTGTCGACTCCCGCCGGATCGAGGCGGCAATCCTCTGGTCCACCAGCTCTCCGAGGCGATGCTGAAGCCAGAGCTGTCGATGCCTCGATACCTCGACGGGGTGACGGGGGGGGGGTCCGTCGATGAAGCTCGGCGAAGCAAGCGGCAAAGGAAAGGTCAGCAGACTTGTTGCCTGGAGACCCAAAAATATGTTTTTGTGTACCCGTAAATTTGTTGAGGGAGCACTCACCAAAAATATGCGTGCAATTCGACCCGAGAGGTTCTTCCGGCTTTTCGGGTGTTCCGTTAAACCCAGGAGAATGTTTAGCAAGTGGAGGCGAGTCTGCTTAGGGTCAAAAGGAGTTGGGCGATTCACCAACTTAGTCAAAGCCTTACCAAACTGTTTGAACACAACTTGCACGGTCAAAAGCAAGAAGACCGCTTTGGCTCCTGCTTCTTTTGGATGGTTTTCTTCCGGTGCCCTTGACCCATCGTCTCGTTTGCCCGAAAATCCACGATAGGGCTGGGGAGAACCCACTGGTAGCAGAGACCTGGTGACCGCTGCACTCAATCTCAGGGTTTTCCAGGGTCCCTGTTCCCGTTTTCAGCCAGCACCTTTTGGTTGCTTGTGAGCTCTCTTTCGTTGAAGGAGATTCTCCAAGGGGTGCTCTACAATGGCTGGTTCCGGCTGGCTTTCCTTCCTAGCAATCCCCAAAAAGGTGCACCGAGCCTCAAAAAGCAAAAGCCATACGTGCCATCGTCAGAAGACACCTTTACTTCAGGTGAACAGGGATAGTCATCCACCTGGGAGTAAGGATCCTCAATAACCATTACCAGAAAAGTCCGGCTGACCCTGGGGGACGGAAGTTTCAAAGGAAGGAGAAAACTATAGCTTCGAGTTCTACTTTTCCCTCTCTCGCTCGCTCACTCTCTCTGTCTCTCTCTTTCTATTTGTGTCTCTCTAGTTCGCTATTTGTCTACCTGACTGTGCAAGAGTGCTGCGCCTGCCATGAATCGGTACCTGACCTTGCGAAAGTGCTACGCCTGCCACACGGACTAATGTTGCGACCAGCGCGTGCGTCCGTGCCAAAGGTCCTGGCTCCGCCGCTCCGAGTCATTCTCCGTCGGGCGTCTCGACCGAGGTAGTTTGCGCTCATGCGGAAGAGTCTGACTCACGCACAGGGCCACCTTTTTCAGCCCGCTTGCATTTGCACGTTTTTTTTCCTAGCGTTTTTACACGCGTCGCATCTATGCTCAGTGACTCCTGTTAGGGGAGCCATGACCATAGGCCATATCTCACGGGCCTGCCTGAGGTGCTGTGCTCTGTCCTGATGCAACTTCAGGCCCGAGTGCTAGGGAGTGTGTGTGTGCGTGTGAAGGGGGGCTGAATCTTGAAGATGGGAAAGGAACAGTCCACTGAGAGGAGCCAGCCCTTTTGGGCAAAAAACCCTTGGGTTCTGCGGCATATCACTCGAGACCTGCTCAAGGCTTCCGGTTCTGCAGCCCACCTTTAAGTTCCAACGGCCTCCCTTTGATGCCCAGAGCCTTTTGGAAAGGCAAGCGAGCCGAGCAAAACCGAGGCAAAGCCAAGGCAGACAGCCAAAGCAGCAAGCAAGCTAAGAAAGCAAGGCGTGGTTCGGCATCCATAGCTTCAGACATGTTATGAGGAGCAAGCACTGGAGAACAGGGAATCCAGAGCGCAAGTCGTGGCCTGCAATACCCGAGCTTGGTTTCCCTACCACCTTCCTTCAACCAAATCAACTGAGTTTGCCAGCATGCTTGACAACGACAGACTCAGTGAGTGTGATGAAATGTATGACTTTCAACACGAAAAACGGGGCCTCGATCTGTTGACATGTCACTGTTGCTATGCATGGCTTGCTTTGGAGTGTTCAAGCGTCTCAGCCCCATGAACTTGGAATCCTGGAATGCCCGCCATCGAAATCCACTCGCTTTTCCGTTTATGTCCACCTGGACCCTCAAACTACCCATAAAAATTGGATATTACCCCATAATTTTGGGGGTCAAGCCCATTTTTAGGTTGGAATTTTGAGGGTTCAGGCAATTCTTTGTCAAGGATGCCAAAGGGACAGGTACAGCTCCACCAATCGCCTGGGACTTTGCTGTGCCCTGTGACAGAGAAAAATGTGTTCTTTTTGTGGCATTTTTGTGTTTCAAAAACAAAGCGTTCCAAACAAAGTTGAACACGCAAGAGATCTCTCCCCCCTTGTTACCTGTTGGTTTTGTTGGTGGCCTCCCCTCTTTTTTGGCGGTGTTGGTGCTTTTGGACAAGCAGATTTTTTTTTGGTCATGAGCTCTCAGTGATCGCCAAAGGCCTGGCAAACTCGTCGAAAGATCTGAGAAAGAAAAAACAACGCGAGGCGGCTCCAACTTCGGTGTAAAAACTTGATGTGGGAAAGGAATCTCAGAGAGATCCGCGAGGCAGCTCCAACCGCGGTGTAGAACACCAGGGGGTTGCGTTTCCGTTTGTGAGACCAATGTGCCGTCCAGTTCGGGGATCGATCCAGAGTTCGGCAGGTCAAATAGGCTTGGATGGTTGGATCAGAGGTCAATCTAGCCACAGCCAGGGTTCAATCCGAATCCAAACCAATCCAAACCGCCAAGGGCTGCCTGGTGTTTGTCAAACCAGCAGGTGGTCAACAAAACTCACATCACTCTCAAAATGTTCAAGTTTTGGAGTGGTAGAACTGGCAGACATCAAATCGGGATCCCTCCTCTGTGTTTTCGCAGGTTTGGAGTCATTAAATCTGTGTCGCAGAAAGGTGGGGGTTTGATCCCCCGGCCCGCATCCCCGCTGCTTTTGACCGAAATTGCAGAATGAGAAGCTGAAACCAGAGACTCAGAGGAGTTGTATTCCCTTTCGGTTGCAACGCCACAAAAGCGAACCAACACCCAAAAGCCAGCGCCCACACCAATGCCTAAGGCAAACCCAAAGATGCTCAAACAATACCGGCTTGCCATGTTTCTCTTCACTGGAACACTTGATTCCATGGTTCCATGTGGTTTTTGGAGGTGCCCTTGTGGCAGAGAAAACCAAAGGCCAACCATCTTGAGAATCCCATTTGGAGGTGGCTATGTTTCCTCTAGTCAGCTTTGGTCTAAGAACAGTGTGGGGGGGTCTCATGGACCCCCTGGCTTTGGTGGTAAAGACCTCTATCTTGAGGGTACCCCCTTAGGATTTAGGAGTTAAATCATCTTGAAACATGGCGGCAGAGAACGAAAGACCTTTCCGCGAGTGATGCCATGGATTCGGCGGACCTGCGATTCTTGGGCCTCGGAGCTGCCTTCAGCTGCTTGGATAACCCATCCGTGAGGTTTTTGGCCTCAAAGCCATGGGCCCGTGTGGTAAAAGGAAAGCAAAGGGACGCCATTGCCATAGGCCAAGGCTGCTTGTGTAGGTCCGTATATTTGGACATATACATTCAGCCCTTACTGGGGGACCCCTATTTTGAGAGGCGCCCAGGTAGGGTCCTACTGTGGATGGACAAAACCTGGTGCATGATTGTGTGAATCCACAGTACCATGTGCTTTCATGGGCAAAGCAAGGCCTGTACGCCCCTCTACAACTTTGTAAGCGTCGTGCGACTTAGGCTTGGCATCCCTGATTGACTCTGCACATTGGCAGAATGACCCAAAAAAAATGGCTTTACAAAAGGAGGTTCCTCCAAAATTGGCTCGTCTTGGGATGGGAATGCAGTTGATTCTTACCCCGAGCCGGACTGGAAATCGGGCGATGCGGTTGTGCTTCCCTTTGTTTGGTCGGGAACTTTGGGGCCTTTCGGCCTTTTGGGAAATCTCACGGGGTAAGAGACCTTTCTTGTTTGCCTTTGGTTTGTAGGGGAACCTTCTGGTGAGGTTCGTTCTGGTGATTACCTCGAACCAATTGTGAGGCTGACTGTTCAAGAATTGCATGACTCCTCAATTTCAAACAACCCCCTGAAGGAAGCATCCAGAATATGTTCAGAAACAAGAAACCAAGCACCACAAAATTTGGCTCCCAACGCATTTTGAGGCACATCCAAGGGGTGTTTCTTCATCTCGACCCGCAAAATGTTCGCTTCGGATCTTAGATGGCCCGGCGTTGGAGCTGCAGCGCCGGGTCCGCCCTCCGCTTCAACCGCGGCTTGGTTGAATCGGTGAGCAAGTCCCAAAGCTGCAAAAAATCTTCAGTTGCACAGAGTCCCATTTTAACAACGGGCCCTTTGGTGGACATCAGACATCATTTAGGTGGGGATTCATGTCCACCAATCACTTTTGAGGTGGTTCCCTATTAAAAATCATGGACAGTGAGTTCTAGTAGCTTCCCCATTCTTTCCAGGGATCCAAATCTTTCTAGGTAACCACCAAAGATTGAGGGGAAATGGCGATGAGTTTTTGAAAAGAACAATGGCTGAAAACAGTGGAAAAGGAATCATTGAATCATGCAACCCCATCAGTTGCACGGTCCACCACTTGGGGAGGTTCATCCCATCGGGTTTCGTCCGCGGCGCCCAAGCTGGCGACTTTCAATGAGCTTTGCTTGAGCCCTAGGCAAAATGGCATGGGAATTTTCGACGGGAAGCCACTTCCAAAACGGTTGGTGGACGCAGATCCCCACCTAAAATGAGGTCCACCAAAGTGTCCCTACGAATTTCGCACCCAAATGACCACATGTTCACGTCTTGTTTGGCCGCCCGTTGAACGAGCGTATTTCGGGTGCGCGAGGCCGGTGCCTTTGCGCTTCAGCGGGCACAGAGGTTTGCGCTTCTGCACCTGGAACGTGGCTTCGCCTTGGCAGCGTGGGGGGGCGAAGTTTTCTGGCTGGTTCCTTCGGTGCATTTTGCCAAGAGATGTTAGGACTTCAACTTTTTGCCAACTAAAGGCTGTTCCGTATGAAACCACTTGGAGGGGCCCAGGGCTTCCAAGCGAGTTGCGTTTCTTTTTTGGGGGGGAGGCGATCGCTGTCAGCGCAGATTGATGGCCAAGGTGCTCGCACCGAGCTACGCGCTGCACAAGTCCTTCCCAGATGTGGACCGAGAAACTCGATTGATCTGAGGTGCTGTCGCAAGATGTGAAGGTTGTTAAGCGCCCAATTTCCCTGTAGGCCATGTTGAGCGGAAACAAGGCCTAGACCTCACAACCATCTTAGTGGACAGAAGTCCATGAGTTTGGGCACTGCCTTTTCTGTTTAGCCCCACACGGTGGGCAGTCAGTTGAAATCGCGAGGTCGAAGTATCGGGAACTTAAGAGCAGTGGTTGCCTTTCTTGCCTCAACGTGTCTACCTGGACCCTCAAACTACCCATAAAAATGGGATACCACCCACCATAATTTTGGGGGTCAAACCCATTTTTAAGTTGGAATTTCGAGGGTTCAGGTATGACATGAAGCTCACTCAGTTTCCTCCGTCCTTCCTGACATGGTTGGGTTCCGGGGTTTCGCTTCCCTTCGTCCAGGGGCCCACTGGAGGCAGCTGGCCTTTTGATTTTCGCCACTCGCGGTCGACTGAGGAACACCTGAAG